TGTTCCTACTAGTTCTCCAAATTTAGTCGGTTATTCAGTCACATTATCTGACAATTTTAATCAAGTATGCTAATATCGATCTGTAGCATGAATTATTCAAAATAATCCCAACATGCCGTTTGGTTTGAAATCATCAAAACAAGCTTTTGCGTGTTTAAATCAATTTGGACTTTCCGGTTGACTGATTTGACGGAAGTACTCAGACTCAAGTTGACATGTTGGCTGCTTGTGCACACACTTCGATGATTATTTAACTGATTATTTAACTTGAAGTAAATTGGTGGATGATGGTAATCAGTGGAATCGAGGATGTGCATTTCGTCCTACTTGAAACTCATCATCTGGATGGACCTGCACATCCAGTGCTAGTCACCATCCACCAATTTACTTCAAGATTTTAGATAGTTGGTGGCAGTCAGAAGAAAGGCTTCTAACTGGGTTTCATGCTTGTCGGCACTCATCAGCAAGGCGTCACTGCAACTTTGTAGGAATTCATGTCCATTCTGAGATTCGCACCTGAGTCACCTAGTGCTTCATGGCACTAGTGTTCAGTCTAAAGAAACAAGCTTTTGTTGAGTATTTTGTTACATAACCACAGCTTCTTCAGTAGGAGACTGATTTTTTCATTCCTTTGCGTTCCAAGTGGAACATAAAGCCTCAAGCTTTGAAGTTTCAGTAGAGGTAATGTTATTTTCGCTAGCCTCACTTCCAGCCTTCCCTCTTTACCGGGCTTACCACCAGCTAAGCAATATTAAATAATTTTACAGTAATTCAATGAGACACTTAGTTTATATCATCTTAAGACATGATTTGATTTTTATGAGTTGATCACGGATTGATATCAGTTAGGGAACCATTGAAAACAAGGGAGTAGTGGACAGTCAGCTGTTTAATCCTAGTTTGGAAATCATCGGCAGTACGCACCCACCTCACAGGGGGTTCGAACCCAAGACCTTCCGGTTACAAGGCAAGCTCGTATACCATTCAGCCACTGGGACTCGATTCAATGTCTCATGAATTCTAACTTCTACCAATTCGTGATTTAGTGCGACCCCAACCAATGTCATCGGTGGAACATCCATCCTCACACGTGACTGGATGGAACTCACTGGTCACGACTTCTCACTAGAACTCCAGGAATCTCCATCCTGTAGCAAGTCACTAGCGAGCATTAGATTAATTTTCTATAGTTCGCGCTAAATCACGAATTGGTAGAAGTTAGAATTCATGAGCCATTGAATCGAGTCCCAGTGGCTGAATTGTATACGAGCTTGCCTTGTAACCGGAAGGCCTTGAGTTCGAGTCCCCGGTGAGGTGGGTGCGTACTGCCGATGATTCCCAAACTAGGATGAAACAGCTGGCTGTCCACTACTTCCTTGTTTTCAATGGTTCTCTAACTGATATCAATCCGTGATCAACCTCGAAAAAAACTAACCCTTACAAACCAACCTATAGAAAATATATGATTTGAGTACGTTTTACATCCATTGGTTTAACCAAAAAGTATTTATTTTCTCTTAATTTGTGTATAACTCTAAGAAAACTGGAAATCTATAAGGATTTCATTATGCTGTGTAGACGAAGTCAAGTAATTCTTGCTCTATTTCAGCCGACAAGTGAATTTAAACTGTTAGTATTAAACATAGACATCTTGTTCTGGACTATTTTAGACAACCTGGATCTTTTAACAAGAATTGCTTTTAGATGTAACAATACATACAAAAGTGTTTCATCTGTGGTATTCAGTATCATACTTATGATCAGTTTCTACAGTTACCTTCTTTTTTCAAGATTTCAACAAAGCTGTCTCTCTCATATCTAATTTAATAAATTTTAGTTTATTTTCCCTCTTTATCAAGATATACAGTGAAGAAATATGTTAAATTTGTAACCTCGAAAGGCGATGCCGTCACATAAGTTGATCAACACGAATTCTTGTTCTGGCTTAAGGTTAATTTTTTTCATACTTATCAAGAGTGAGTATCTAAAAACCTCTCAAAAATTCAATCTCCTCTCATTAAAGTTTGCAGATGGATCCATTTTCTATAGGCTACTGGAATTTGAAAAAAATTTATTTAGTGTCCTATAGTTCGAAATGTCCAATGAACTCTACCTTTAAAGGTAATCTGTTCCAAGATGGCGAAAAAGGGAATGGAAAAGAATGTAAAGTAAAACTTGATAAAATAAGTGGTTAAAATGTTAATGTTGTAGGTTGATTCTTAAGTAGAATACTGACATTAGTTTGTGTTTTATATCAGGTGAGTATTACTCATCGTTATAGTCTCAGATGGGTAGATTAAGCTTCTTTGTGATTAACAGATAACTGGAGTTTGCATGCTGCCATTTCAACTCCACTCATCTACCTGTTAGACTGAAGAATAAAGTTGGCATTACTTCATGACGGAAGGTCAGTAATGATCAGCAGGGTGTATTTCAGTCGCATACCAGACCACAATCTTCATAGACTACAGTGGAAAAGAGTAAAGAGTGATCGAACTAGAATATAGCACCATTCTATCAAGTCACTGACTGTGTGTTTGTGCCACATAGAGAGGTGTAAATTGTTTGACTTAAGTCCTCTAGATTCTAGACACCAGCAGTTGGAGACCATTGGTGACATACTTCGAAATCTCTCATGATTATGAAGACACACTCGCTACTTGTCATCTTCATAAAATTATTCCATCTTTGGTACACCTTCGCCCATTGTAATTACGTGCATTACCGTGATGCATGCTTCTTACGACTTGAAAAATTCTACACTTTTGGCAGTTATGCTGCTTTAATATGTCAGTCAGTAACAGGCTAGAATAATGGCGATCACTCCGTTCTTCGCAGAATATCTCAGACATCAGATGATGTAATTCAAAAGAAACTCAAGGGGAATTTTATCCTCTACTTCATGACAGCTGGAAAGAGATGTTGGAAACCAAAGAGTACTGAATGGTGGTCCCTCTTCTGTTTGGCAATTAACTGCAGTAGTCATATGAGTTTGAGTCAAGAATAGTCAGTAGTTTCATGGCGGTCACTTTACTAAGTACCCATCATTTTTGGCCTCCATGGCTGAAGAGTCCGCAAATGGAAGGCCTAAGCTGTTTAGTGATAAAGAATTCCAGTTTATTAGATTGCTTAGAAATATGAATTAAAATGATATAATCAGTCTATAAATTACTCGAACAATGAGTGATACATTATTCACAACTGGATGACGATTCGAGCACAATTTATTCCTCATAGTCATATCTCAGTGAATTCACACAGCTTCAAAATTTGCTCTATGTATTCTTCTTCTCTTCCCCTTGTTATTCGTTGTAATTTCCCATATATACGGTATGGGCTCTGTGTCATTTTGACTGTACGTGTGTAGTGTCGACTAAATGGACTAAGATTCAGTGGTTAACCTCTCTGTCTCCACCTAACTATATTACTTTTTAGTACTTTCAAAGCAAGAATCGGAAAAGCAAGACGAGCTCTCATCTCTCTCAAGTCTCTGTGGAGATCAACACCCAGCACTCAGCATCAGAAATAAGATCAGCATTTTCAACTCCAATGTGAAGTCAGTGCAACCATAGGGATCAGAGACTTGCACTGCGCGTCATAAACAGCATCTCAAACAAACTACACACCTTCATTAACAGCTAGTTGTCTTCATTCAATACCACTCAAGATCAGATGGCCGGCCAGAAAAGATCAGCAACAGAGAGGGATCTCTGGCAATGAGCGAACCAACTCAGCAGGACCCGATTGTGAAACGAATAGACAGGAAGAAATGGAGATGGATTGGTTGGCCATACTCTGAGGATACAAACCATCAAGTGACATCACACGACGGCCCATATCTCGACTGGAACCTGAAATGGAAGCGGCGAGTTGGTGGTCAGTGCGAGGGTGGGTGACTTGGAGGAGGTGATGTGAAGAGGAGATGAAAGCGTGTGGGCAGACTTGGAGCCAGGTGAAGACTCTAGCAGAGAACCGAAGGCAATGGAGACGCATGGCTGAAGCCCTATGTTCCTCTAGGAATTAAAGGAAACAATAATAATAATACTTTCACCCTATCCAGTTAAAGAATACTGCATCGTTCACTATGTGTCATACCAAGTAAACTTGTCTAATATGGAATCATATATCCTGAGGTGGTCAAGTGGTCAAGTTTTACACTTATGCAAATATTATGTTACATAATGAGTACCACTCAAATACTGTAATTAGATAAAACTTATTTTCAGTCATAAAAGTGATAAAAATTTTGAAAAAATTTAAAAATCTTACTGAATTACACAAAAATTTGGCATTTTAGAAATATGTGTCCATTTTCACGTTAAATGAGTTATGTTCAAATAGCTTAGATTGTTTGAAAGCGCATATAAACGACTGCTACATATAAAATTATCTTATCCCTCAACAATCATGTGCACTGAGTCATTGAGTGATGGCTAATTTTCAGAGGTGGAAAGGGAAGACATACAATGATACTAGCTGACTATTTAAACCTCTGTACGGGTGTATGTATGGCAGTAAGTTCAAAACTGTAATCCATTTGTTGAAACTCACTGGATGAAATCAAAGGGAGATTACGTCATCAACACGCCGGCTGATCAATTTTCATCTCAGCCTCCATTATAACACCAATTATTATTATATTATTATTATTATTGATTCTATTGAATTCTCAGTGGAACATAGAGCTTCAAACTTGAGCTTTGCAGTGATTTTGGCTTTTTATGAGGTGAAGTTGCCAGCCTCACATCCAGTCTCCCCGATTTACTGGGCTCACTAGTGGCTAAGCCAGAGGTTTAGATGCTCATCACCAGAGGATCGAATCCCAGACCACGTGATCGGCGTGGTCGGTGAGCACCATAGATTTCCTAAAAGTTACACCTGTAAAAATTTGGACATAAACTGTTGTTGCCTAGTGAAATGAAAATAACGAAACTTACATATCATGGTAATGGATAATAATACTAAATCAATAAATAAAACTTCCTTTATAAAAAAATTCCTCAATTATTAATAATAATATTATGACTCTTTGAGAAAAAAGGATATCCCCACTCAATGATAATTTTCGAATATTTCCTGATAGCATTTTCTTCAGAAAATATGAATAGCGTTTTATGACTTGAACTACGTAATCCTGGTATTCCGATAGTAAGTGTCCGCTTGGCTAAATTACGCATAGATGCATCTTTAGCATTTTCCAGACTGCCATCATTCTCCGCCTTATACAACACAGTTGCTGATTGTTTTGTAGAATTTGTAGGATTGTTAGTTGTTAATGTTTTGGATTTTTTCACTGAATCCAATTTTTCATAGTCTGCGCCACTTTTAAGATCTTGTTCATCATATGTTGGACATTTGATTCCTCCATCCTTATGAATATTATCTGTAGTAGTAGTAGAGTTGAGCTTTTCACTAATGAACACCTTTTTAGTTTCACGAGAGTTTCGAAGCATATCTCTTGATGTTTCTACGGGTTGTGTCTTTTCAGAATCATCGTCATGTTCGCCGTCGCCATCGCTTTCTTCTTCCTCTTCCTCTTCCTCATCTCCTTCAGAGTTATCATCATTATCATCGTGTGATGACGATCTATCAGCTGAGATATTACTGTTGCCTATACTGTGAGTATTTGTTGTTGTTGTCACTACTACTACTCCACTGTTAAATGTTGATGTTACCGTTGTTACCGGTGGATTTGCATTGCTTGTACTTTGAGCGTGAATATCATGAGCCCTATGCTCAATAGCCATTTTTTGGTTATCTTTTTTTATTAATCAAAAACTAATTTGTACTCTGTGTGACAATAATAATGTAATAATAATAATAACGGAATGAATAATGAATATTTTAAATGCCTTGACAAAGTTGTAATCATGAGTTTCGTCAGTAGAAATTTTGAATCCATAATTCTGTTGTCTGGTCTGTATGTGTATGCGTTTGAAAGTGAGTGTTAAACATTCAGCGTACAAAATTCATGTTGTATCATGTTGCTATGTGCTATCTATCATCCCCATTCGGTAGATAACTGCTCAAATGATGCTCAATTTATGTGAAATATGTGTATTCATTCAACTCCACTTTTTTTCGCCTCTTTTATTCTTCTGAATTGTTGGCATTTACGTGAATCTTGTTATTTTTGTAATTCCTTACTAAATTAGAATTTCTTAGGAGTATTGTATTTTTAGAAGAAAAAAATTACTAATAATCCACAGAGCTTATTGCTGCATAATGTATTTCAATTTTATTCATATATAATAATTATTTATTTTGCTGTATATAAGTGAGAATGAATGGATAACTAAAGTAACTTTTCACACACAGTGTTTTGTTTGACTATTCGATAAATATGATTTCAGCGTAATGGATATCCTTTAGCGGAATAGAATGAGCATGAGCAATACTCACGGATGTATGTATCCACACTCGCTTACACACACGCACTCACACACATTAACGTAAGATTGAATTCTTGTTAGTGTGTTGGCGTCCACTAAGAACGACAATCAGACAGACACACCTATGGATCAGTAGTCCTCACTCTCTAATAATAAATAGAGGTTAATAGATAGATACATATAGAGATAGATAGACAGGTAAAGAAAACATACAGGCAAATACATACACGTACATACGTATACCCATGAATGCCCACATACTTGTGCTTCATTAACCGACTTGAATGATACCTGTCTAACACACGTGGACAAATATGTCTGTCTATCCACTATTATTATTTTTATTATTATTATTATTATCTACATGTTAGCTATCAGCCAATCAGATTAATGATCGAATAACTCAACGATAAAAGACAATCAAATTAAGGACAAATAATAAGCCTAGTATTTTTTATTTTTTACTTTTTTGGTTTGTATTCATCAACTTACCTTGAAGAAATTTTCCTCAGCTGAACTCAATCATCATCATCAGTTAGTCAATTTAGATTACCTTCATCTTTTTGCTAACCCATATTGCGTTAAACAAAATGGGATAAAGAGAGAAAAAAGAGCATATAAAAAAAAATAGATTAGTGATTAATTTCCTCTTTGTAGCGCAACACAGTAGTAATAGTATAGTTGCCTGTTGTGTTGTGACACATAGGAGGCACGGAGATAGATGAATTTGGCAAGCTGGATACACTAAAAAAATATTTATTTCCTTGAAAATGACCCTAACACAATCAGCATGAACGGGATAGTGGACACAAATGAGCTAACTAACAATTTATATATATAGAGACAGGGAAGTAGGTTACTCTATTTAGCATAAAAATTCACCAGGACAGTCACAATAAACGTACATGGTACATTATTAAACACAATCGTGTTTTAAAATATTCTGTTTCAGTAATAATGTTAGTAGCAGTAAAAATAATAATGGTGATAATAATAATAATAACAGATGTAAGAGTGTGAAATATTTCCATATCATGAATTAAAAGTCTGTCTGAACGAAGAATATTCTATGCATTAATTTCTCTTCAGGTTCTTACAATTATAAAATATAATATTTGTTGTCGTAACAGTAATGACCAGTTAGACGGTGGTAGCATTTTCATGTAGAATAACAGATTAATAGTTATAGGGTGATGAATAACAATAATAATAATAATTTGATTTATTCCAAAACAGTACTTGTGATACAGAACGGAATTCTCAGCATTTTTACTACAGCATTGCATCCAGTTACTACATTATCAATAAATTGAATTCTACATAGATTAAGGAAATCTCAGTTCATTATGACAACAACATATTGGCATGTCGACAGCAAAGCCAAAGTTGAACAGTGTTTGAAGGTGTTAGAAAAGTAGGTGCTATCATATTTACTGGAGTAAGCAGAAGAAAGAAACAAAGTAGCACATAAAGGAAAAAGAAAAAAAGAGAGAGAGAATAGGAAAAGAAAGAAAGAAAATGTTGTACATATTAATTATATGATTTGGAAAGACGGGATCCAGTTGTTCTACTGACTATTTAATGAATTATAGCTGTCACACTTAATGCTTTCTTTATCACACAGAACACGAGCTAAGTAGGGTATGGTTGAGTTTTTGTACTTCCTGGTACGAGCATATAGTTTTCTATATAGACTTCTGGCTTTGCCTGATGAGATGCAAGGGGAGAGTTGTGAGTGAAGAGGGTGGTGTGACTTAGATGAAATGGATTTGGCCCATTTTTCACATGAGTTCATGTGCGTGTCAACCAGAATATTAACAAGCTGGTTAAGTGGCACGTTGCTTACCCTGCTGACAACCTTTAACATCCTGCGTAATATGTTATAGTCTTTCTTCAGTAACCCGGGAGAAACTAAGGAGGAACAATGGAGAATAATAGGCAGAATGCGAGATTTAACGAATTGTACTAGTAAGGGTTGAGTTATACCAGAATGTTTTAACTTCTTGAGGTAGAAGGTTTAGACGGAATATTTTCTTAGAAATCGTCAAGATATGAGACGACCAGGCAGATCAGGTATTTATGTGACAAGCGTGCTAGGCTGAAATCAGTTACAAAATGTTTTGAAATGCGAAAAGATGACGGTGATGATTAGTCATAAGAGATTCATAAAATGTGACCCAGGGAAAATTGATAAGTCAGCTCAAAGTTGTATAAGGTGTCAGGTGAATGACCAGTACAACATAGTATTCAATGAGGAGGGAGACAGTAAGACTATGGTGAATATTACATCAATCTATGAAATGAAAAAAGATATAATCTCACTAATAATAAGTCAGAATAGTATCAATGGAGGATCCAGTAGTGTTGAAAGAATGTTAGAATGAAGAGTATAAACAACAAAATAAAAGAAAAAAAGAGACAAGAGGAAACGGCACTCTTGGAGGAGGGGAGAAGAAATTTTAATCCAAGTTTGAGCACAAAAAAGGGACAGCGTCTGAACGTGTTCTTTTTGAATATAAAGTTCCGGTTTAGTCAATTATATTGTAACAGCTTGAGCTGTTTGGAGAAGACGCAGGCGAACTGTGTATGACAATGTTTTAGGAATGTAGTAGCATATAAAACTCTGAAGTCTACATCTACGTAATGCCCTGTGAACTTTTTCTACATATGATTTCACACTTTCTACGCTAGAATTGGTAAATGTTGTCCTGTCATGAGACAAACTTGTCAAATCGTTAGCCGCATATAAATAGAACTACAGGAACAGTTAAAACGGCATATACCCGAGGAGGAGCTAAGATAAGGTAAGATGTCTTTCACTTTCCAGGTGAACATTAGACGGCCGCGGGAAGATAGGGGGAGATGTGCGAAGTGGGGAAGTTTTCTTTGTCGCTTTGATTTTACACCGAGATAAAATCTCCGAAGAAGTATTTAATCACCATCATAGTCTCGCATTTCACAATATTTTGTAACTGCATTTAGCCTAGCTGTTTGTCGCTCACGCAAATGCTATTTATTTAGTCACTCTATAATAATTATTATTATTATTACCTTGAGTTCTGAGTGGAACACAGGGCTTCAACAACACATCTCCATTTTGTTCTATTTTCTACTGTCCTTTTTAGTTGGACCCACGATTGTCCAAAATCGGGCATCTCCTCCTTGCACGATCTCCTCCATGTCACCCTTGTAGTGATGACCTACTACTAGTTGTCTCCCACTCGGATTCCATTTGAGTGACGGCCTGCATTGAAAGCGATGTCATTCAATGGTCTCCTCAACGTATGCCCAGTCCATCTTCATTTTCCCCTCCATATTTGTTGAACGATATGTTCCTAGTGAGTTTGTGATGAGAGATGGCTGCTAGCCAAAGTTGGTAGACAGAAATTGACGTCAATGTTTATGTCCCCAATATTGGTGGTGAGAAAATGAGAACAAAGGCTTTGCGTAGGCCGATACAGTTAGCATAAGGATGATCTGACACAGCCACAAAGAGATGCAAGGTTAACTTTCTGTGAGAAACAAACAATCAAAAGACTGTATTTTCTACTAACAATAATCTACAACAATGTACATTAAAATCTATAAATATGTGTTGATTTTCCTTAATAAACGATCTGTTGCCTGGCCCTTGTTTTCTGTTGTTACAAGTTTGTTCCCATAGTTTCTTGTTGCTAATTCTTCCTGGCCAGCTGGCCACTAGATCTTCAATCAGTGAAGACAACTGCTGATAAAAGTCTGCAACCTGTTGAAAATGCTTCTCATGACACGCTGGTCAAGTTTCTGACCGGTATAGAAGCGCTGATTGACTTCACATTTGTGTTGAAAATCCGAATCTATGATGACTCTATAATTACTAATCTGTTTTTTTTCCTCCACGTTCCCAGCGTAACATAGGGCTTCAAGCTAGTGGCTTGAAGTTTCTGTAGCAGTGTTTAATTTCTACAGGATGGAGTTGCTAGCCTCATGCCCAACCTTTCCTCTTCACCAGCATTATTTCTGGCTTAGCAAGGTAAAGGACTGCGAGCGTCCTAACGACTATGCCACCGACGCATGAAAATATATCCGATGAATTAGTGTGGTTATGATTATAATGAGATTTATATAAACATTATACTGTAAGAATCTGATGATGATTTATTGAAAAGAATATTCTTCTTGTAGATGAACTTTTAATAATAAATTTATTCGGAAAAATGAGTTAATAAGCAGTACATAATTGTAAACATATTCTATTGAAAACTACTTGCTCTATCTGTAGAATCTTAGAGTAAATTAGTCATTATTATTATTGTTCCCTTGTGCTCCTAGTGGAACATAGGGCTTCAACTGCACGTCTCCACTTGTTTCTGTCT